CCACATGTGAAACACAGCTCGAAGAAATGAAAATTTATCTCTTACAGCAAATTTAAAAGAAACGAATTTTAGAATGATGAACAGATGAATAAACTGGTATTCCTAATCTATATCGCTGTGCATCTTTCCTCTTTAAGTTAGAAATTACAAGTAAACTCGATATCCATATCTGAATTTTTATACAACCTGAGACCAATAAGCAGCCGAGAGAGTAAATTAGCTGAACAGAGATAGTTTGGTCAGGGTTTGAATCCCGGTCAAAGGGCTACCTGCATGTTCATTTTCATGATTTGTGGCCATGTGTAACTTGTATACAAGCCGGTTTCTCTTAAAATTTCTTCCTTGAATTCATCCATTCCCTTAGCTGAATAGCCCTAAAAAAAAAAAAAAAAAAGGTCTGAAAGGTCTGGTACTTTAAATTACGTTGAAAGGGGCGTTTTTTTCACATTTCGTGTGTCACCTTTATTTATTAAATATCATATTCTTCGCACTTAACCATAAAATTGAATTCAAAAGCAATATCGATAAATAGTTTTAATTGAGCATATCTTTAGAATTTTAGATACACAATCTCAAGCGCCGGAGATAATTTTTTTTTTCTGTACAACGTTGCCATTGCTCGCTTTGAAATCGCTGAGTTTGTTAATCAACAATTCGTTAAAGTTTTACAAAATATGAAATGGATAATAAAACAAATACCAAATTTAAAATTTGGGATTCCAGATGCCCATATTTGCAGTATGATTACGTCATTCAAAATTTTATGGCTCTGGGTGCCATTGTTTTATCACAATGCGAGAAACATACATACATTTATGCAGCTTCTTCGTTATTTAATTTCTTCAAATACAAAATAGCAAAACAGGGCGATAATATTTGGTGGCAACAGTTTGAAAATTGAAACAGACATTCAGAGTGATTCGACGCAAAACCGTAAAACGAAAACAATAGTCCCCCAGGAATAAAGCCCCTTTGTACTAATGGCAATACAAACTGAAATGCATAATTTAGATTGTATCAAAGCACTTTAAGGTTTTATAATTAAGGAATTGATGCTTTTGTAGAGGACTTCTTAATGAAAATTGTCTTGTATTATTTGCCTTACACATATAAAAACAATCGAAGCAAGCACGAAACTAGGTCTTTCTCCAGGTTTTGAAACCGAGTCGATCTATCGGTGTCCAGGAAACTTATGAGTCAGCCACTGGTGACTACGTTTTCATACAGAAGTTACAACTGTTTCAGATGTAACTTGATATATTGCAGACGGAATTAATCAAGATACAAATCACTCTAATGCGAAGACTCCTTTTCGAACTCAGTATTCAACTATTTCAAAGTATTGTCATCAAATGATTTCGAAGTTTGCAAAAATTGCTGCGAGTAGCTGTTTTCCAAAATTAAACTTTTTGAAATTCAGACTAAAATTGTTTTTGAGAATGAATATCTCCCCGTTATTCTGCACATCGTAGAATCAAATGTATAGGCAGTCACATTGCGTGAGTAAACAAAGCAATACTTACTTCTTGTTAACTCACCATTAGGCCTAACCTCTGTCAATAACATTTCGATGAAATTTATCGCCAGATATAAATAAATTAGTTTTTATCACAATACTTTGATGCATAATTTTATATTAGATTAATATTAGCTGGGACCAAATTCCTGGACTCATTTCGAATGTTTTTGCATCGTTAAAAACAAAGTTATACATAAATGTTTAATTTTGTGTGCCCTGTTTTACACACCATTACTAATTGTTTTCACGTTTGTTGTATTTTAATACTGAATATTCGGCAACATTTAAAAGGGATCTTTACAAACAAAAAATTTTCATAATATGTGCTGTTCAGCACAGGGGGAATGCACATTTCCCAACAAAATGTAAGGTGCTGATATTTTTAAATAAATATCCATATATCAGTAAATATTTTTTTATGAAAACCAGCAATTGTCCTCTGTTATATAGATTAGAATAATTTTTAGATGCATTGACACAGCGCATTATATTTCAAATCGAATTTAATTAGAGTTAGATGCAATGTAACATTCAGATATATGTTCCGTATTTCGAATTATAATCGTAAATTCTAACTAGATTCAAGACATGTAATGCATTTTAAAATAAAATTATTCAACTTTGCATACAGACTTGATATTTTAATATAAGCCTTGAATGTTAATTAGGCTATACTGTTAGGATACACAATACTTAATAAGAATATACAATAAGTTACTGGTGGAATACGTAACTATAAATACAATTGAATCCTCGAAGAATATATGCCTGGGGAAAGATAGCTTTATAGAGAATTTTCTAAAATCTATGCATGTGTTTGCGCTACATAATGACAAACTATGCCAAATCACGAGCGGCTAGCCTGTCTCATCGATTATTGAACTTGGAAAAAATAACCAATACTTGTAACTTTAAACACATGGCGATTTTATATGTAAACGTAAATATTATTTAGGGCAATGTTTTGCTGATAATATAAGCAGGTGGTTTACTTTATGACCGTTAACAACATTTTATACAAAATTTACATGCAGCATTAGGAACTAATCTACTTTAAATTGTAACTAACGTGATCAGTAGTCGCAACACACCATTAAGGGGAATTTTATTATTACTATATAACATTATTCTTCAGAACAAACTTCAACTATAGTATCAGTGTAGACTTATCGTAAATGTATCCGATTTAATTTTATTTACTTTATAAATATGCTTTATACAAATTGGCATTAATTTATATCATGGTTATTTTAATATATCATCTACTTTTTTAGCTCCAGTATGTTAATATACAACAAGATTTAGCTTCTAGCCGCGAATTAATTTCCCATTTTCTTAGTTTCACTGATCATTTTAATATACAATCTACTGTATTTCAGGTGTATATTACAACACAACAAAGTTCAGATTGTTTGATGAACTAGAGAAAGCAGTTCTCGTTTTCGGCCATGGCTTGGAACTCTTCACGAGTGATCCGAAAAATGCAAATATCAGCCTTACACCAAATGTCAGCTGCTATGGAGGAGGACAGCCTCGATGGAATAAAGGAGATTACTTCTTCAAGTTAGTATTTTTTTACTCTTTGTGTTATTTTACAGCAGACCATAATTAATGAAACTCAATTCAAATACTGAATAGATTTCCCAGTAAAAGAAATTGTGAAGAAATTTGTAACAGACAATTATTATCGCTGTCTATTGTTATCTGAATTTTCCTCTTGTAAATGTCAGCGAAGAGCAAAAATCTTATGCATGTTGGTAAGTAACACACTCTTATGTTAAAACGTTTTGTACAAGAAATTTTGAATTCATATTTTATCTTATTTAGGTATCTGAAAAATGTGACAGCAAAAATGAAACAAGGTCCGGACATCAGCTTTAACTTAGACGGCTCTCTCAAACATGTCGAACTTCAGATCTTGAATCTTAATAGGAAAAATGTCTGGGAGAAAGTGAGTACATATTTCAAACTGATTGTGACTATACAGCTGAATAGATAACGTAAACGTACCTTAAATGTGAAATCTGTTCCCGTCGGAAGGTCGTGAGAACTTACCTTAAAGGCACAGAAAGTAATCTTAGAAAACTTACATTTATAACACTGAGATCGTTTGAAATTTCAAATAACAGCGAGAAATATTTTTGTTTCAAAAGTGAGCTTCAAGTGTTCCTTAAATTTATCTCTCTAACCTTTTGAAAGAAATACTTCTAGTATGCTTTTGTGAAAGAACACTTTCAGGAAGTTTTCGCGTGTTTCTTTATTTCATGTAATGCGATAGAGAAGTTTTTATTTCGATTAATTCTAAGATTTTTCCTACGAAAATACGGTATTATTCCATAATGCGTGATAGGCTGAGGAAAAAATATTCGATTAAATCCTTCTGTTTACGAGATGACCCTTTTATCTATCGAACGGTATGATATAAGTTTACTCAGCAGAAATTATTTTTCCTAGAAGATAATTGTTTATAGGATGCGTAATTCATTTTGTTGATTGAGAAACAAAGCGCATTTTAGTATAATTCTAGAGTAACGCCAGTGCTCCAAATATATCGACTAACAGTTCAAGACCATCGAGTTAAACGGGATATCCACATGAGGTGTCTTGTCTTTTTCTTGCAAGACAATTTGATACAACGTAAATGAGAGGTATTTATTTTTTTACTCCCTTTAGTTCCTTTGATGGGAATAAATAACATATTTATTATAAAAAATAATCTTGTTTTCATTAAAAAAAAATCAAAAATATATTTTTCGACAAAATTGAATGGTGAAATTACATTTTATTTACCGAAACACTAAGTCTGTTTCGCTTCTAAATACATAATAACAATAAATTGAATTATTATTCAACAATTATTATATACTAAAAATGAAACACTTTTATTTCAGTTGTACTAAAATTAAAAGTACATATTTTGTCAAAAACTGAATGATGAATTTTTTTTACCTGAACACTTAGTTCATTTCGGTTTTAAATACATTAAAATAATGAAATTAATTTTTATTTTTGAGTAAATCCTAGAAGTAAAACCATGACCTTATTTTTCTCACGTGGAGAGAAAAACAATAATAATGTCGCCCCGATTTTTTACTCTCTTTTAAGGACAGGGGTAACTAAAACGCGTGTTGTGATTTGCGGAATAAAAAAGAAATAAACTACATATGGTATATCAATAGACTTTATTTTTTATAATAAATTTTTGTTGCAAGTAATAAACATATTTATCCAATAAAGTCAGCTAAGTAAACTAAACAGTACACTATTCATCCAAAATTCAATTTAATACTCCTTTAAAAATATATAAGAAAATCCATTCGTCTAAAGCAGCGATTCTCAACCTTTAACTAACAGGTACCATCTAAAAAAAAAATGAAAAAAACTTTTGTACCACCACTACGTTTTACAATGATTACTTTTCAGTTTCTCAATAGAAATATTATATATACATATATACTAGAATGCTGACGGTCATACGAAATGATCGCTGTTCTAGATATTATAAATTGTAATTAAAATGATTTGTGCAAAAGTGTCTGCTAATTTAAACTGAATTACCCAGGGCAGGTGGCGATAACGCGCCCCTTTGCTTACTGCCCCACGAAGTTTCCCCCCTTCTACTTGCTTAATTGCTTAGAGTGCAATGAAAGAAATTACTGGCTTACATTTCTTAAGAGCCACCGCCAGCTCAATCAATAAAATAAAATTTAAATAGCGAAATGTTAATTCACATGTCAAAGATCTCTTTGTACACAACATTTCTTGTGTAGATCTTTCCATCATTTTTAAGCTCGCCTTGCAGAGGACCATCCATTATTTTTAATTTTACCTCCGTTCAAATGTTCAAATGCAGGCTCAGGTAAAAAAAAATGCAAACACGCTTAAGCGTTTGGCCCTGAGACTTATGGATGTTCATAGCAAAGGCAAGTTTTACAGGAATTGTTAACGTCTCAATTGAAACGGCAACCCAGTGCCATGGCAACTTCACCCCATTGTCTAGTACAGTTACGCAAGCTACCAATAAACTATCTGTGACAAACAAACACTTAAGCCGCATATATATATATATATAGAGAGAGAGAGAGAGAGAGAGAGATAGATATAGATATAGATATAGATATGGGTTGAAATAACATTATCTCCTCTGAAACGGCTGGCGAAGCACACTGTTGGATTCCGCAGGTCCGTGGCACGCCACTTTGACCATCCGCGTCTTCCTAGGACTTTAATTAGCCGAGATATTAATTTAAAACTAATTTGTCTCTACGTTTTCCCTACATTCTCCACTTTCTTTCTTGGGTTTTCCCTATTAGAGGGATTAGGGCTACGTGCCAAATTCTTTTTTCTCGAATATCTACGGAACGGCGCCGAATTGAAATTCGAGACGCGTATCCTCGGATTCCAAAAAAATTCTCCAAATCCATCGATACCGTTCTCATCTTCGTACGACTTTAATCGGCCGAGATATTAATTAAAAACTGCTGAAACGCTAATTTCTGTGCTCATTTTTCCGAGTGGCAACAATAAACTTTCTGCGGCACACACTTTAGCCGCTTATATATATATAAAGATAATGCCATTCGAGCAACCTATTAGCTATTTGTGTTGAATATGTACACATAAGAATATTAAATTAAAAATTGGTTACCGTTTTAATTATTAAAATTTAAGTTATAATACTTTAATTTTAAAATGTACTGCGAAATTTGAGCCTGTTTACGACAGATCAATTTATTTATGTCTGGGTTTATTTCACTTAGCTTTAACCATAAATTAGGATACACTTTTGATTTAATTCTGTATTTATTTTTCAACTATAACTGGGAAGAAAATTCTTGTTTACACAAATAGGTTGTGCAAAAAAGCAATAAGAATTTAATAGCTTTATTTGAAATGCCTTTAAATTATTTTTTTAAGTTCAGCCAAAAGTTAACATTTGTGTTATTTATGAAATCTTCAATTAGAGTTCGATCATAGGAAATTTCTATCAATTACAGCTATGTTCACACAAATAGGTTGTGCAAAAATGCAATAAGAATTTAATAGCTTTTTTTAAATGCCTTTAAATTCTTTATTTCGGCTCAACCAAAGGTTAGCAGGTGTGCTATTCATGAAATCTTCAGCTAGAGTTCGAAATTTCTATCAATTGTTCTTTTTCTTCGCTACATAAAATTTCAGGTACATTTGAACAAAATGGATATCTAATCCAATTTTCGTTTTCTCAACCCTCTGGAAAATACATTTTGAAATTATTTATCAATGAAATTATTATCATAAACAATTTTCCTTTTTTTTTCAGTATTTTTAGTGCTGGTGGATAATTTTTAATGTCGGGTGCTAATTCTGCGATAGTCAATCTCGGATTCTAATTCTTCTTTTATTTTCAAATTATCGGCTGGAAAACTTTCTAAAAGTAGAAAAAAGCTTAGAATAATATTCTCCAATTATTTGATTATAAGCTCAAGTATTTTTTAACATTGCATTTATTTTATCTCTAATTAAACAAATTAACACTTTTTTCTTTTAACCCTAAATTTAATTAATTTAACTATACAAAACCATCAGCAAAATATGCTAAATGCGCCAAACATAATTCACTCAATAAATATTTTTGCAATTAAAATTTTGAATCTCTGAGGAAAATTTGAATTTCTGAACCATATTCGATCTGATCAAGTCGATTTCAATGATTATTTGCCTTTGGATAAACCCCTTACTTAGGAATGTAACAAAAGCGTTTCATGTTCACTGCCCATCTCTTGGCATAAAATCGTAAATATTCTTGAATTTAAAACTCGGGTTTCAATAAAATTTAAAATTTTCACAGCTTGACTCCAAACGATTTTCAGGTTTTCAGGGATTGTTTTGGCTACTACAGCTTCACGATGAACAGCGCAGTGAGTAAATTTGGTTTCAGGTGCGATTTTCTTTATTTGAGAAATAACACCGGAATGGTTTTCGTTAAAGCCACCGATCCATTACTGCATACGACAATGCACTTATTCCAAGAATTATTCTCAGACATAAAATTGTCAATTACCTTGAAAATTTCATTTCGAGTTGCTCTATCATGGAAAAATTCAAAAAATAAATACTCTTTGGCAATTAGTTTATCTTCTTCGAAACGTATGTAAATAAATAACTGAAGAAAGTGTTTAAGAAAGTATATTAATTAAAGTACTTTCATCCAACTGCATTGTGAAATACTCACTGTGTTTTATCTTGTGAATAAGTGTCTCTTTTATGGAAATTGCCATTTAATGAATTTGCCGACTTACTGCATCATTTGATAACGATATATTAAGTTAATTAAGCGCTTTTTGTTGAACAATGAGGCCCACCACTGGTCGAGCGGTAAAATCGCTGAACACTGGTAGTTTGGACCTGGGTTCGATTACATTTGAACGGGCTGGCTGCATGGGCGTTTCCATTGTTTTCCCATGTCTATAAAAGCCAGGTTTCCTAGGAAAGTTCTCCTCAAAAGCATCCCTCCCCATAGGTACATAGCCCTCACGTGGTTTGCCGTGATTAAACAAGCCAAACCAAAATGTTGAATAGTGTTAAAATGATATCTTTAGCTGCTGCTAATATAAGGTTTCCTCCAATGGTGTGATCTTGCTGAGGTTTTAGCAATTCTTAGGCTTACTAGATAACTAGCTTCCAAAGATTTTCAATTAAAGTAACGAAACGTTTCATTACTTGTTTACTGTTTCTGAACTCAGATAATTTCCTCTTAAAATATTCTTCAGATTTATCCTTTAAATTGGCTTGCTTAGATTCAAGATGTGTTTTATAAACGATGGTTTCACACTTTGTTTGGATAATAGTTCAACGCAAACATCACATTGAGCCTGAGGGTCCATTTCATCTCTATTTCAAGTAAACCCAAACGATAAACAACTTTTATTATATTTTCTATAAACATTTTTTTCTTTTCTTTACAATATTCTT